AAAAAGAGACTGTAGTACTGGCATAAGGATAGACACACAGATACAGAACAGAGGAGAGTCCAGAGCTAGACACGCACATATATGGTCAGTTGATTTTGAAAAAGATGTCAAGGTAACGCAATGGGGAAAGGATAATCTGTCCAACAATTGTAACAATTGGATATCCATATGGGAAAATAAAAAGAAACCTCAATCCTTACCTAGAACCAGGCAGAGTTAAAATGAGTAGAAAATTTCTCCTTCAAAAGTGGCTCTCCTGAGTCCTTTATGTTTTATTTTCTGGTACTTACAGGCTTTACCAACATGCCTAGTTTACCCATCAGGACAGGTCAAACACTGAAATGAGCATTACTTGGACTTTGAAAGAATTTGGTGTTACCAACGGCGTTCAGTCAGGCCAATTCACAGAAGTCTCGTGCTACTGCAAGAGCTTGACACACATCCCAAGAATTGAACAATTCCTTCCGACTAGTTCTATGCCCTACATCCCTGGAAAAATCTTTAAATTCCCTACTCTGGATTTCAAATCTTTCTTTCTTTTCCCCAAATTTCCACCACTAAACTGGGCATGTTTCATTGATTATCTGGGCCCAGGCTCATCATCTTTTTCCAATAAGGCTAAAATACTGTCTTGGCTAATGGACCACTGAGCTCTGCCCACAGGAAATCCCTGACTGGCCTTTGTCTTTACTGACCTTGGCCTTCTATTCACTTCTTGGGCCAAACTACAGTATTGGATTTTCATTCTGGCTCAACTCTTCACACCCCCGTCTCTTTGTATTCCTGTCCTTATCCTCTAAAAGCTCATTTTCCTAACTCACCATAGAGATCACTAAAGCTAGTATTTTCCCTGAAGATTAAAAAATACTTAAGATAACATGTTTATAATTAGTAACTCCTCATTTTCAATTCACAGTCTCTTTCGGAGGGAGCTGTTATCTTTTATAACCAGACATTACTAAATGAATAAGTGATGAAACCTTCAGAGAGAGGGATCAGTCATTTAAATACTGCTGTCCCCACTGTTAGCACTGACACGCCTCGTACAGGTCACCTCACGCCCCAGCAAATTATTCCTCCTCCATAATCTTTAAAATTGGGAAGAATTTTTTTTCCGTCAATGATAGATCTTTAGGTCCAAAGACGAACACTGCTCATTCACATGCTCTCTTACATACTCTTGTGCTCTTCTATTTAGTTTTCTCCCCTGAAGAACCTGGAATAATTCAAGGGATATTTTGAGGACCTCACCTTATAATGCATTCACTCCTCTGCACCACCCGCCCCCTCCTGCCCCCCACCGGAAACAAAAAAAGAAAAAAACACTGTTTCTTCCTGAAATCAATCAAGCAACATCCCATGGGTAAGTGGACTCTCTTGCATTAATATAACTCACGTAATTAATATAATGCAGGAGACCCGGTGGCCTTGCGAGGCAGGCTCAGACACTTCCATCCAGCCTTCCCTCACTCACCCCTCTCCCTCACTGGGCTCAGACCTGCACCTTAGTCTGACTCGCACCTCCTGCCTTCCCTGCCTCCACCCACCCCAGGTGTTTATCCTAATAAAACACTTGCACGGGCTTCCCTGGTGGCGCAGTGGTTGACAGTCCGCCTGCCGATGCGGGGGACGCGGGTTTGTGCCCCAGTCCGGGAAGATCCCACATGCCGCGGAGCGGCTGGGCCCGTGAGCCATGGCCGCTGGGCCTGCGCTTCTGGAGCCCGTGCTCCGCAACAGGAGAGGCCACAACAGTGAGAGGCCCGCGTACCGCAAAAAAAAAAACACTTGCACGTTCAATCCTATCTTGGCATTTGCTTCTCGGATGACCCAGCCTGACACATCTGGATTAATAACTTACTTAAATTTATGTTTTCCAGAAACTAGCGGCTCTTAAGTGGGTCCTCAGAAAATGGGTAAAGAAACAGGGATTTTGTAATGCAGATCTCAGATACAGAGTTCCTCCTCTGTTCCATTTATCCCCATCTTGAAAAAGACACGAATAAAAGCAAAGTAGGCTTTTAAATAGTTGTGTCACACTAACAACTTTCCTAATATTAAGAGATTCTCCATTACTTACAAATTCACCCAGTTCTAATGAGAAGGAAGCAAGTTATTTGATATTAACCACTTAGGTGTCTGTCTCTCTGATGGTAAGGTCCTGGAGGGTTAGCACCCTGCCTCATTCACTTTTTTACTGAGTACTGAGTTCATAGCAGGTACTCAATAAATGTCTATTGAATGGAGATGAAATCAGTGATGCTTAATTGCAGTGAGGTACAGCGATTAAAGAGGGGCGTGGTTCTCAGAACTTTCTAGGGATATGAAAAAACATATAAAATATACCCATTGTTTTCATTACACAAACCATAGAAAAAAACTTCATATTTCATCTTACAAACCACAGAAAGTGAAGTTCAACAAAACTCCTGTTAGCTACAGTGGCAATAAGCAAAATATAAAGTGAGAAAGATTATAGAGAACTTATTTTAAACCAATGAGGAGCTCTGTACCAGTCATACTCTATTCACCTAAAATCGTTATCCTGCCCTTCTAAGAGCTGGCCAATACATAATGTCTGGATTTAGAAGAGTAATAAGTTGCAATAACCATGTGGCTAGATATAGCAATATAGAATATATATATATATATACACACACGTGTGTTATATATGATATACTATATAAGATATAGATATATAGGTTTACTCATACGAATATTCCCATATACCTGTAGACTTACTCAAGCCTCATTATTTACGTACTGCCAACAGATATAACTATTTCTTCTAAAAAAAAACAAAAAGAAAAATCCTGTATCTTTCTACATGTCAAGTAAAGGAATTTCTTTAAAACAAAATATTGATCTATTTAGATGATAGTGGAAAGTCTACATTTATAAAATAACTTGATAAGCGTAAAAGAAAATAGAACAGAAAGAGTGGAGAGTTAGATGAACTCCACAATTTCTGATTCCTTCATCATCACTTTAAAAAAGAGTAATTTATTGCACCAACGGTTGGCATATTTGTGATAATTAAACTCTCACTACAGCAATGAAAATAAGTGTATTAGTGCAGATCTCAAACAATGAAGCTTTAACTAGCCTTTCCCATAATAGATTAACACATCTAAGCTATACCTTGTCATTGGGGAATTCTTGCTGCACACTAATTGGGTTTCCAATTAATTTCCCAATGTTGTTTAAAGAACTCTGTAATAACACTGGCTTGACTTTTAAGTGCACTCAGTGAATTTGAGAGGGAAGAAAGAATACTCCACACAACAGAGCCAGAAAAGGCAGAAAACATTTTTCTTCTTCCTCTCTTCATTATTTTCCCCAGAAACTACTGCAAGTGGGTAAAAATTAAAGAATAAAGATATACCTAAAACCATCGATGACAATTTAAAATTATGAATTCCAGGTCTTTCAACATATAAAATGGTCTAATGAAAATTTTATGTAGAGTTAAGTTCTACAGAGTTGCAAGTTGGCCCTAAACTATGTAATATTGGGAAGAGTCTAATTCTTGCCCTACAGGATTAGGAAAAAAATAAAACCATAGCTCTTCACATTTCAAATTACATGTCATTTTACCTAAGAGTCAACCAAATAACAGATATGAATTGAGGTGCCTACCAGGTTCAGGGCATGATAAGACATTTCATAATGAACCCCCAGTTAAAGGAACTAATCCTAAAGAATTCAGCATGTACGTTATATGAAAAAAATGAGAAAAGCAAATAATTCCAAGTAGTTAAACAGAGGTAATGAATATATGAAAATTTTCAATTAAAAGTTAAGGAAAATAATGAGGCCTATAATTTTATAAAGTTTGATAAATTTGGTAGAAGAATAGAAAAATATGTATTTTTCTAGAGAAGATACTTTTGATTTCATATAAAAAGAAATGAAATTCTAATTACAAAAAGTGAATCAGTAGAAAAGGAACATTTATTCCTTTTCCAAAGATACAATTTTCCTAGTTAGCTATCAGAAACCACTCAAACAAACGCAGAACTTCTCAAACAATTGCTTATAAAGTTTCATTATAGATGTTTTTTGGTAACAAAATATATTTCACGTATTAAAAATAAGCAAGCTTTCATGCTATAGCATCTCCTTTCTTTTCTTCATTCAACAAATATTTATTGAGCTCTTAATATATAATTCAACATGGTTCTAATAACTAGGGCTACAGCACTGAACAAGATGGACTAAAATCACAGCCAACATGGAGCTTACTTTCTAGGTGAGATAAATGACAGGCAAGAAAATAAGTAAAAGGTCTAGCATGTATATTCTACTACTATTCCACTGTCATTCTGCCATAATATTGTCCTTTGGTTCAGTGGCGCTGGATGTGGTTTAAATAGAATTACAATGTAATAAAAGCCTTTTAATATTTCAGATAAACCCTCTTGGCCCAGTTCTAAGCTAGATCTGTCTTAAAAGGATTACCATGATATAAACCTGGGGTCACCAAACCTTTTCTATAATGAGTCACACATAAATATTTTAGGCTTTGCAGGCCATCTATGATCTATATCCCATATTCTACACTTATTTTTCCCTTTAAAAATGTAAAACTATTCTTATCTGGCAGGCCAAACAAAAACAGGCCAGGGGCTGAATGTGCCCTACAGCCATAGCTCTCCAACACCGGACCTAAAGATATGAGTATTCTTGCTTTTGAGTGGCTATGCTCAGTCATACATTTCATGTTTCTTTTATTTTTTTATATTTATTCTTTTGCTCTTTGTTGTTCATTTGCCAAAATCTAATAAAACATTCTTTTCTAGAGCCACAGTAGTTCCAACTACTATAGCCTGAGTCAGTTCTGAAGAGCATGGCCACCTGCTCTATTTCACACAAGCAACAGAAAAATGTTCTTGGCAGAAAAACCTTCCTAAGTCTGTGCTTTAGAGAGATACGGCGGAGACTACACATGCTCTCCATTGACTTCCTGGAGCAGACACATATAAGGTCTAACGGTCCCTTACCTTGCTGGAGGAACATCAATATTGGAAGAAACAACTTTTCGTTTTTGCTCAAGGAGACAGATGGAGCGAGTGTTTTCTTTTTCATGGTCAAGGGCTTGGTTGACTTTTTTGGTGTCTGCTGTTTTCACATCCTCCTCCATGGCCAAGGGGAACAAGTGTTGATGAGACAGTTTTTTACTAGAGTCACGTTTTAAGTCCTCTGGTTGAAATATGAAGGCCATTTCCCGCTTAATGCTCCCCACCTGTGAAATGAAATGCAAAAATTCTTAGTCACCCAAAATATCAGCTTTGCATGACTATGTGCAGATGGCCATGACGAGAGACCACAGACTCTGCTGTCCCTGTTCATCTTGAAGATTTTATAGTTTAAATGGGAAAAAAGTCACACAGAAATAAAATAACTGACATTACAAAGTAATGCACAATTGATGCACCACCTGTCCATGCAAACAAGAAGTATCACAAGCACAAGAAAAGCCTTTCAGATGTGCAAAAACTTCGAAGGCTTGAAAGAGTGAGACTTAAAAAAATCTAAAAATTTAAAACATTATTGTTTTCTCTTCTACAACTGAGAAGACTCAGTTAAGTAAATAAATTCTTAAATATTTCATGCTGATTATGTTTAATAAAGAGAGCTATACATATAAAATCAAGCCTTATATCTTTGACTATGAATACTGATCTTAACCACACTCTCTATCTAATGAAGAATTGTTTTTTATCCTTTATTTATAGCAGTTAAGATCTTAATGAAATCCGTCATTAGTATGACAATTAAAAAGTCATATTAATTTTTCTTATGATTTTTTACTAAATGCAATGGTGATTAAAGTTTAAGACAAATATGAATTTAGACCTCAAGGAATTAAAACTGGTTATTTCAGATTTTAGGACTGCGATGACTGAAAAAGGAGACTAAAGTTAAAAAAGAAAAAGGATTTTGTAATGTGATTGGCGCTGTAAATGAGGTCTGCAGTGAACTTGTTAAAGTCCTAAGCATACAAAGAAGAATCAGACTATCTGGCAACCCAGAGCCTCACTCATCAGCAGAGTATGTTTCAAAATATGCACATCTATAAGACATTTCACAGGTCCAGAGACAGTCTCTCCCTTTCATGAAGTCAGTGTACATAGTCAGTAAACCTTCGCTCGCCCACTTAAATAGAGGATATGCTTATTTGTTTCTTTTTAATTTTAGTTAGGAGGAAAAGCACAAAGCATGTGATCAAACAGATATAGAGAAATAGGAGCTAAAGCCATAAACATACAGCATCTTCAGAATAAAATGAGAATATGTGGGCCCAGTAACAGCAGAGACTGGCAAAGTATGGTATTAATGACTAGAAACTCTCAGACTAAAGGAAAACTCTGAAGTAGGTGTGTGTTGGGAGTCACAGGACCTGCTCACATATGTATTCTTCCTGAGCCTAGGGATGACTTGTGCCTCAGGATTGCCTTGGCTGGAATGTATCTTTCACATGAACACAGAGCCCTAAACTGAGCTCCCTGCTCTCCTTGGCCTGCACTTGTCAGGAAAAAGAGAGTATCTTCCATGGTGTTCCTGCCAGACCAAGCCCCAGCTCCACAGGACAATGGTCAGCCACCTGGGTCTACTTGCAACTCATTAAAGAGTTACCATATTTCCTAGAATGCACTAGTTAATGAAGCAAAGTAAGAGTCCAAGAAAAATGAGTGCTTTTAAGAGCTAACGGTTTAAATGACATCAATACTCAATAGAAAGGAATAAGAAAATATTTCACACTTCTAAAATGCAATAAATTTTCAATAAAAACGTAGTTTGGAAAACTGACTAATGTAATTATAAATTTTTAAAATATCCATCACTAATCACTTCCAGTGCAGCTTCTTCTGCCTGGAGGTGGAAGAGAGAGGGAGGCATTTTTTCCACCTCTAGAGCAGCTCATTCCCAGCGATGTTACAACAGGAATATGCCAAACGCCAGGCATGAAAGATGAAAACAAAGGTGTGGTTTTGATGATTATAAATAGTTTCTCCCTAAGTGTCAAGTGTTACAGTAATTAAATATTTAAGTAGTCATTAGTATTAAGTTGTAGCAATAATTGACATCCAATACCTCCCTTGGGGTCAACTGGACTGGTTAAATGAATTCAATCCAAAGAGAGGAGGGTTGAGGGAGAACAGTACAGAAAATTTAGCTTTTAGCTCCAAAAATTTAGGGAAAAAAGCCAGCATCTAAAGCAAATTAATACAAAGTAGAATAAACTTCCTATAGAAATGATATTATAATTGTATGTCATGCTCTTAGCTGAGACTTCATAATAAAATAAATTATGGTAATATTCAACGATGTAAGCTATAAATCTTCCATAATACATTCTAAACATAAAATTAATCTCTCAATAATAATCAGGAAATTTTAGCAATGTAATGAATTTCAAAGACTACTTAGCCCAGACTCCTTTTTAAAAGTGCAATTAAAATGAGTTAGAAATGATCAAAGAAGAGAAAAAAGTGTAGAGGTGAGCAAGAGACTTTAGATACTTTGAGTCATAGGTTCCACGGTTTGTAAGGCTGGTGGAAGGAGTGGGTCACAGGTGTAGATATTCATTATATCACTATGCCTTAAATTTATATGTATATTACATGTTCTTTTTTTAAAATTTATTTTATTTAGTTATTTTTGGCTGCACTGGGTCTTCGTTGCTGTGCACAGGCTTTCTCTAGTTGCGGTGAGCAGGGGATACTCTTCGTTGCGGTGTGCGGGCTTCTCATTGCGGTGGCTTCTCTTGTTACGGAGCACGGGCTCTCGGCGCGTGGGCCTCAGCAGTTGCAGCACGCGGGGTCAGGAGTTATGGCACTCGGGCCCCAGAGCACAGGCTCAGTAGCTGTGGTGCACGGGCATAGTTGCTCCATGGCATGTGGGATCTTCCCGGACCAGGGAATCGAACCCGTGTCCCCTGCACTGGCAGGCGGATTCTTAACCACTGCGCCACCAGGGAATTCCCTACAGTTTCTTTTTAATGTTCTTTTATTCATATCAGATATTATATTTAAAAATATTTTTTAAAAGGAGAGTACACAGGAGAGAAGAGAATGGAGCAAGTATATGAAGTCAAATCTTGAGACATGGGCTCAGAAATGGCCCAGAGAAATAGGGTGGTGGCTGGGTCGGATGCTGGACAAAGGAGAATGCTCTAAGATGGGAGGTAATGGAGCACTTTTGAATGCTGAGGCAGGATGGAAAGGAAGGGATGAGTGAGGGTTTGGAGGAGCAGTAAAAGGGGGCAGCCATTGCACCTCCAGCAGATCAGCCGAGGAAAGCAGCTAAAGGAAGATATGAGCCCATTTATATGAGATGTCCAGAAAAGGCAAATCCATAAAGACAGAAAGCAGATCGGTGATTGCCTGGGGCTGGGGTTGAGAGCAGGAACTGATTGCAAACGGGCAACGGAGAACTTTTTGCCATGATGGAAATGTTCTGGAACTAGACTGTAGTGATTTGTACAATGCTATAAATTTATCAAAAATCCCTGAACTGTATTCTTACAATGGGATGAATATTATGGTATGTAAATTTTATACCTCGATAGTACTGTTGATTTAAAAAAAAAAAAAAAAAAAAAAGGAAAGGAGGAAAGAACCAAACCAGGAGTAACTGGTGTAGAAAGTATATTCCCCAAGAACCGCCTAGACCAGAAACTGGGAAACGGTGCCACAAAGAGGCAGCCACGAGGTGCCTGACAACCCAGGCTGCTGCAAGTAGCTGTGCTGTTATATCCTGTGCACAAGAAAGATCAGCTAAAATCCAGTCCCCACTCAAGCCAGGTCCCCAGGCCTCTTCGCCCATGGAAAAGGGACATTTTTCTAATTCATCCACCCGGAGAAGAACTTTCTGTACTTCATCTGCCCAGAGAGGGCACTCTTACTTATTTTTTTCCCAACTTGCACAACGCCCTGGTGACAAAAGGAAACCCTTCTGGTGATCTGCAGGGCCTGGGCTGAGTTAGCTTCCTTCCTTGAAGCTGATATCAATTAATGATGTGACTCACATGAGCTGATATTTTTGTTAAAAGAGAAGTTGGGGAAATCTGAGAAATCTCTGTGAAACAGCTCAAGGGGAGGCAAAGGGTTCAACCATAGAAGACAACCAGAGAAAACAAACAAATGCCCCAAATCTAGAAGCCCTGGGTGGCAAATAATGAAGAAAAACAGCAGAACTCTTAACCAGGAATTTCGAGGAGAGAACACAAGGCAGAGGTTTAGGAATAATCTTAGTCTAGGTTTTTTTTAAGTGTCTCCTGCATGAGGAACGGTTAATCTGACTGTATCCCACAGTGACGAGACTGTAAATTGGAAGGCAGTAGTATCCGATTCTGGTTGTCAAATTTCAAGATGGACATTGACACATCGGAACAAACACAGCAGGGTTCAGGATGACAAAGGATCTTATTGTGAGAAATCTGGGAATATTTCATCTAAAAAACAGAAGGTTTAAGGCCCCCATAGCTTCTCTCTTTTTTTTTTTTTTTTTGCAGTAC